GCTGAAGATAATGCTGCTGAAGCTGCGGCCCGCAATCGGCTAACCCTTCAGCAAATAGCGCAACTTTTGCCGACAACCATTGAAGGAAGATTAAGAACAGGGTGTTCGTGTGCTTACCCTCTCCGTCCCGAACTAATGACCCTTAACGATATGCAACTTTTCTTCTGCTGATATGTCAACTCAGTTTACAACTGTACATATATTCCGTTTGTATCGTACCTTTGATGTCAGTCAACTCAGTTTACAACTGTACATATATTCCGTTTGTATCGTACCTTCGAAGCCAGGCAGCTGGAACTAATGTCCTTAAACGATATGCAACGTTTCACCTGCTGATGTGTAACTCCAGCTTTACAACTGTATATATATTCCGTTTGTATCATACCTTTGAAGTCAGGTTTTTTCTACACAACTGTACCTATATTCCGTTTGTATCATACCCTTGAAGTCAGGTTTTTTCACTTGAAACAAACTCCTCCGTTTGTATCGTACCTTTGAAGTCAGGTTTTTTTCACTTGAAACAAACTCCTTATCTCGCCCAGTATTGACAAAGCACAAAATGGAAACAAAACCAACACTGACTGCAAAAGAGGGAGTTTGTTTTAGGTTTTTTCCTGTCTTCGAGGTTTTGGAAGGCGCCGAGAGGGGAGTTTGTTTTAGGTTTTTTCCTGTCTTCGAGGTTTTGGAAGGCGCCCAAAGAGTTTTGTTTTAGGTTTTTTCCTGTCTTCGAGGTTTTGGAAGGCGCCCAAGAGGTGTTTTACCAACTCTTTAAAATTGCCTGTAAACTGGCATAATAAACATATATATAAATGTACTCAAGCACCTACAAAATTAAATGCTTCCCTTTATGTTAGCCCAGTATAGTATTTTTTAAAAACAATAATGATTCTGCAAATCTACGCAACTTAAACCATCAAAAGCAGCAAGTGCCACGTAAGCATCTTGATAGAAGTAAGGCGAAGATGGAACGCAATCAAGAAGTCAGAGCACAGAAACAGCTAACCAGCTAAGAGACCAAGATGGAGACAGGCGTTTTCGGATTGGTTCATATGATGCGCTGAAATGTGTATAAAAGGAAACCACCGGCATACTACCTCAAACATCCAGAAATGGCCAACTTCGGACTGACCCTGCTGTTGTCTCTTGGTATTGGTAAGTCTGCCGTAATGCCAAATTAAATAAAAATGCCGCAGTAATGTAAGATAGTACATTTTTAACCCCTATGGTAGTCGATGTGATTTACACATCCCTCGTGGCCTTTTATAGTACTCATGCAGTGAATCCGTTAGTTCTCGAAAGAAATTGTCACAGTC